TAAAACTGGGCGAGCCACATCCCGTCAACAACGAACAAGTTCGTTAACATTACGTTAAGTAAGCGGTTCTCGTTTGCAGATAGCGTTCAGGCACGATGGACACTGTCAGCTTTGGAACGAGCTCGTTAAGGATGGAGAGGTGACGACTTCATCTACCTGTGTAATTAACAGGGATGGAGTGCCTTCAAAGAAAGGTAGGCGATAGCACATGTATAATAACGTTAACAGAAGCTGTCAGTTACTTATTATGGATCCCAGAGGGAAGTTAGCAGATATAATGGCAGTAGATATGAATGAATTATGCACTTTTGGGTAGAATTGTGAAACTTTGCACACATGTACTACATGAAGTCCTGAAGATTTTGTTATATAGTGCCACCTTGTAGCGTACAGCACCTCCTGGCAGTTGAGCAGGTATTGCATTATGCCACTCTTTGGTTCTTGGCTATAACTTCACCAATGTTCACCTAATTTTAAGTAAATAAATAGCTGATTCATAGAGATAAGTAGCATCGTTGAGTTAACGAGAGTTGTCAGTGCGTTATCGATCCCAGAGGGAAGTTTACTATAACAGAGAATATAATGATTAATTACCATAAAAGTGTGAAAGATTAGAACATCACCTGTGATGTGTACGTAGAGTCTGATTCTCTCACAATTGTCTCTCGTGGTTTTATAGTAAGAGTTCGAATGAGTGTGTTGCTCTGCCACCTTTAGGTGAGAAAGGCAAACATTACTGCGGCATATCTGGTAAGGATTAGAACATCACTGCCTGTGATGTGTACGTCGAGTCTCACAGTTGCTTCTCGTAGTTTTCTTGTAAGAGTGCTGATGAGCGTGTTGCCCTGCCACCTATAGGTGAGAATGGCAAACATTACTGCGGCATGTCAGTGCTCACCTGCCTTTGCTGCAACGGCAACTGTGGTCCTAACGACGGCTGCAACTGCCCGGCATGTCAGGAGTTAGACGAGGAGGAGAAGAATAGGAAGGAGGATGACGCAAAGCTGCCGGTGCCGTCGAAGCAGCTGATCGAATCGTGGACGTGGGGCGAACAACCAGGTAACATAGTCATCAGCCTGTACTTGGCAGTACTTGCTGCCAGAAACAAAAGCAGGCAGCAAATTTACTGGCCCACGAATAATCCTTGGTGCTTTTATTATGGTTTATTAGGAATTTCTTGGCAGGCAGGCAATGTTGAAAGCAGGCTGAATCCTTACATACTACAGCAAAACGGTTGCTTGTCACCCTTGATTTCGAACCCCTTGTCTGTATTTAATATGCATAGATTTACGCTTTTACTCAGAATAAGTGTACAAAAGAAGTGTGCCTGCTCTGTGTATTAAACAGTAGGGGGGGGTGACCCCCCACCCCACCCATCATTTGCAAGACATTTGCAAGATGTTTCTTTTTCTTTTTCTTCTTCTTCTTCCTTTCCTTTTTCTTTTTCTTTTTTCCTTTCTTTTTCTTTTTCTTCTTCTTTCCTTTTTCTTGCAAATGATAGCTAGGGGGCGACCGCCCCCCCCTGCCTCCCCTGATTATGATTATGATTAAGATTATGATTATGAATATTTGTATGCATATCAAAAGTCAAATTTGAGTTCATCTGACAGAGGCGTAGATAGCGGGGGGATGGGGGTATATCCCCCCATACACTTATTGAGGTGGGGTGGTTTTCATCCCCCCTACTTTCAGGAAGAAAATGGAAAAAAAATTAATATTTTACAGACAATAAATACTGGATATTTATCTACAAATCCGTCATCGCTATTCATACTCTCATAATGTATTATTACAGAAATGGAACGTGACATACATCTACTGTAAAATGGCTGTAACTCGTTCTAAGAATGACATTATTTTACTGAAACTCAGACGGTTAATTCTGGACGCATTCCCCATACACGATTTTTTTTTCAAAATCTCCAAAGTCTTATCACTGCTCACGAAAGTTAAATCCTTGCTTTATTCAAAATTAGAATAGACCTATTGAGAGTTGGGATATTTAATTTTCACGGAGATTGAATGGGAAAATTAAATTTCATCTCACTTTTGGGGGGGGATGGGGGTGCTGAAACCCGACCGGAAGTATATTCCCGATTTTGAATAAGGGGTGAAAATATGCACTTTTTGGTTCAAATCTGGTTGTTTTTCTCATATTTTTTGCAGTTCTCAGTAAAATATACGTTTTATCAAAATTTCAGGGTTGTTTAATAGTGCTGCCTCATAGTGCAGGAAATTGCATCGAAGAGGTGTTACTTTCAACAAAATCCCCGGACCTCCCCCCCCTGTACCTACTTTTTTAAAGGTATTTATCTACCTACGTTCAATAACTATAACTTATAAGGTATTGTTCACGAACGTGCCAGCAGTACACATGCATTGACAGTAAAACAATGACATGAAATCCATAGATACACTCCAAGGGTATAATGAAGTGTATAATAACACTTTTTTCCTATGCCGACGTGTGCTGGAATTGGAAATGGAAAATGCAAGTTATATTTCGTATGATGTGGAATGACTGTAAAATGGCTGTAACTCGTTACGGCGACAACGATGACGATGGCTATTTTCATAGTATTATTTGAATTGTCTAATTTGTTATAATTATAGTACTCAAATCGTAGATGCAAATATATCTAGTCTTGTTATATTTTAACCGATTAGACGTATATGCTTGTATACTCGCATGGAAGTACATTGCACGTATAGCGGAAATACCGCCGGATGTGCTCTTGTGTTGCCTAAGAATTTGCAATCAGATTATCGAAAAGCTCCAGGTAAAAATAGGTATTCTTATACAGTAGGCCTACTAATATAAGTATAAATGTAAGTAATAATATAAGTTAAAAATAACCATTGTAGGCTATATTATATTTGCCTATTGTATTGACTATTGTGACCGCTATTAATTTTAAACGTAGGAAAGGCCAAGTGCTCTCGGTCGCAGGCCGTAGGCGTAGGAAAAGACTAATCCCCGGGCACTCTGTGAGACATGCGGCTAGCGACAGGGCGTCATCCCTATGTTACGGATGCGCGATTCACCCTAGCGGCGAGTTATGGAACTAAAACCATGTACAAGTACATTTGATAAACATGAATTTTACATTTTACCCTAACCCTAACCCTAACCCTAACCCTAACCCTAACCCTAACCCTAATATAGTGATATATGACTATCTTTATATGTGCATATTTCTATTATGTACTCTTGATATATATTATATATATATATATATATATATTTGACTGTTATTTACGCTTCCTTACCTGCCAAATAGATCAACGTGCTTTCCATTTTCATGTCTTCTTTGATGTCCTATTTCTGGATAACGTTTCTCGCAATATTCCGAATTCGCAATATAGTGTAAACCTATCAAAGTTAAACAAGCCAACGCGCCTAATTTTTTTGCCACTGAAAATTATTCGAACGACGAAATTCTAAATCGGGTGAAAAGAAAACTTCGCGTGTATAGTGGAGTGATACGGAGGCGGCAGCGGCAGCGGCGAATGGCCGAGAGAGCGAGCGCACTGCGCTTATATAATAGTAGACGCGTACGTCGTGAGGTGTCTTTCCGTATCTTATCATGTCGGCACGTGTTACGTCACCTGCCGTGATAGCGCGTGACATGTCGGCGCGTGACGTGACCTGCCGTGATAGCGCGCAATACCTCAGCGCCGGATCTAGGGGGTGTCCGGGGGGGTCCGTCTCCTTTAATTTCAAAGTGCCCTAAAACATTCCTACTCAGATGCTCCCAGAATGCACCAATTTAAAAAAAAATCGGCACGTCGCATAAGATGCCTTCGGCCGCTTTTTAAAACACTAGAAAAATTAAAGTGATTACGTCACCGTAAATAGTAAAAATAAAAAATATATTTCCACTTTTTCACAAAATATAAGTAATTCTGTTCACTTTTTATGGCTAAATTGCTGCATTATACTTCTTATTTTACTATATTGTTCGATGTGAACATACACTCGTGACGCATACATAGCCCATAGCAAGCAAATAATGTCAGCAACACTAATATCAAATCGTCCAGGTTTTTTGAATTTTTAACTGGTTGAGAAACAATATCAGGTAAGAATTTGACGATACGTTTAGTCCCGTTAGTTCTTACTTTTAATGTAAAACAATGGCAACAAAAATTTTACAAATTTTACCATAGAAAATTCGTCATGTAGTCAATTTAAGCAGGGAAAGGTGCCCTTTATTTCTTCCTGGACACCCCCTTTTCAAAAATATTGGAACCGTCCCTGCACCTGCCACGCGAACGATGTCAGCGTCGTCGTGATAAATCGTGACTACTCTATCATATATTCATCGGTCACCTGCTATCGATCGATGTCAATCGATCGACGTATCTGATATATATACGAGAGTCAGCTTTGATTGATGAAGGCGGGGCTGAGAACGGTGGTGTGGTGGTTGTGGTGGGGGGGAGGGAAAAATTCCAGCAGGAAATTATACCGTCTTGTTTACTATAGTTTAATTTTTAAACCGCGTCGCGATAGCTGCTTGACGTTGATTGATCAACATCAATGTGTGTCAACACAAACATCATGGCTATTCTAGCCTAGTCGTGGCCACTACTATAGTATGTAAGGTAGTTATATAATAGTATAGTATTATATAGGGGAAGGGTATTTACTTTGATATTAATAATATTATATATATATAATATACTATATATTGCTATACATCACTATATATATAGATAAGTAATAAAAATAAAAATAAAATAGAACAAGGTTGTTTTAAAGTGATAAAATGCGAGCTTTCGATGACGCTAAATCTTCTTCTTCAGCTTTAAATCGCATTAGCATGCCACCCAATTTAATTCAAATACAATATGTCGTTACGAATTTCATAATTTAAGATTAGAATAAGTTCTACCAGCGCCTCCACAAATTACACTAGGAACACTGGCATTATCAGACTATAGTTAGTATATAATATATTATATATATATTATCACTAATCTTTTCTACTCATTATTTGCCGACACATCCCCCGATAAAAGCGTCCAAATGCCCTTATCTTGCAACACACACGCTGGCTGCCGCACGGCTGACGGCTTCCCACACGACACATATTTTTTTTTTTTTTTAATGTTGTTATTGAAATTTTTATTTGGTATATACTCCTCCGCCACAGTCTCTCCTCTCCTCTCCTTTCTCTCCCCCTCCTTTCCTCCTCCCTCCTGCCCTCGTCCTTCTGCTCACTCTTCCTGAGGCTAGCATAGAGGAGCCTCCCTCCCCCCCACTAACACAGTCTTCTAAATCATCCGTATTATATTAAAATACCACGATCAACATTTATCAGTATTTTACTTTCATCTTACACCACGCATACATTCTGCGGCCAGTCC